TCCTCTGGGTCACAGGAGTGCACTAACGTTTGCACTCCTGTGGCCCATAATCAGCTGACAGCAGACGAAAGCCTGCTGTTGGTTGAGGTCACAGAGCTGCCCCAGGCTCTGGAAGGATCCTGACCATATTGTCGGGATCCACCTTGATGCATGATTGACAGATGGCTCAGCCTCTCAGCGTGCCACTGAGAGCCAAAGCCAGCTGTGCCCACCCTCTCCCCAGGCCAGCACTCAAGGGAGCACTGAAGGGGGAGAGTGGAGAGCCGGAGACTGACAGTCACTGCTCCCAGCCCGAGAACTGAGTGGTCAGACTAATGCTGTAGCATGGAGATGAATATGCATGTTTATTTTTTCTATTTCCATAATTCTCCTGTAATTGAATAATAAAAATGATGTTGTGCAGAGAAATTCCTACCATGAAGAACCATTGGAATATTATCTTCAGATGTGACCAGCTGCATTGGAAGAAAATAAATCTAAATGGTGTTTTAGGAAGTATTCCTTAGTGCATGGGAACTTGATGACTGGTGCCAGAGGCTCATGGGCGTAGAGCCTGACCTGCATGTTGTGAATTAGTGAGCATGTAAAGGCAGTCCAGTGCTGAGAATGCCTCAGTGTAAGAGAGGAGATCAAAAACTAGAATAAAGCAGACAAGGAGTTGTGTCCCCACAGAATAGGAAAGAGACTGGCTGTGCATCTGATAATTTGGTTGAGCTTTTGAGAATGAAAGTGCATCTAGGATCCCTTGGAAGCTGAGAGCAAGAAAGATGAGATACTTCTGTGACTAAATTAAAGGAGGTATCAGGGCAGGCAGGCTCACAACTTGTAACTGATGTCAATGACAATTTTTTATTTCAGTTGCAGACTTGACTGTCAGGACAACCCACTGCTGGGGGATCTATTGTTACTGGGGTGGACTATTATTGTTGGGGGGGGTCTATTGATGTTGGGGAGATCTAATGTTGCTGGGGTGTGTCTTATGTTGCTGAGGGAGGTATATTGTTGCTGGCTGCTGTGGAGTCTATTGATCCCTATAGATCTGTTGTTGCTGGAGTTGATCTATTATTGCTGGGGGTATTTTGTTGTGGGGGGTCTATTGGTTCTGGCTATCATCTATTGTGGCTGGGGATCTATGGTTTTTGGGGTATTTATTGTTGCTGCGGGGTCTATTGTTGCTGGCCGCAGGGAATCTATTTTACTGATTTTCTTGTTGTCATTAACAAACTCCATACAAATGATTTAGCTCTACAAATTGATGTTTGGTTCAGTATTCTCTACTTGCTGGTTCACACTGCTGCAAATTCTATGTGGATCAGATGCATTCAGAAGCTAAGCATCTGATAATTTGGTTGAGCTTTTGAGAATGATAAATGCATCTGGGATCCCTTGGAAGCTGAGAACAAGCAAGAAAAGATACTTCTGTGACTAAATTAAAAGAGGTATGAGGGCAGGCAGGGTCACAACTTGTAACTGATGTCAATGAACATTTTTTATTTCAGTTGCAGACTTGACTGTATTCTCTACATGCTGGTTCACACTGCTGCAAATTCTATGCGATCAGATGCATTCAGAAAAGCATAGATTCGCATGTAATTTCAAAAAGTATAATTTCCAATGAGGCGTGTTTACATATATGAGGTGTGAATTTGATGCTGTTGAAAAAAGGTCCTGTGCCAGTTTAGTGCGGGTGTGGTGCAAATTTCATCTCCTGCTATGCCCAGTCCCCTCAGAAATTCTATTCAATTCACACTTGTCAAATCAGAAATCGCACTGTCATAGCGTACTGTGAAACCGCATCAGACAGATTCACACCACATCAGTGTGAACCGGAACTGAAAGGGGCTGTACTGGGAGGTGGGTAGGGGCTAAAACCAAGGGAGAGGGCTTTGAGGTGGGTAGAGGGCAGAGACAAGGGATGATGGGGAAAGGGAGACTACCTTCACCTATTCCCTGAGAAGGAAAAAACCTGCTTACAACTAAGCTTATAAGCAATGATGATACAGTACAACTACACACATTGCAGTCTCTGATTTGTGTGTTTTTAGAGAAATCATAAACCTGGTAGTGTCTGCAGGCTCTGTAGCTAGGAGCAGTTGTGTACGGAGGAGAGGAGAAACTTCTGCATGTAGTTTGCAACAATCTATGCTAACTTTCAAAGGGGGCCTGACCGTTCCCAGTCTGTAAAGGGCTTTTAGCTACTGATCAGTAAAGACTGACCGTATCTAGGGAGGAGAATAGTCCAGATCTTCCTCTGTACTTAGGAAGGAAGTTTTCCCCCTGCATTGCTTCAGTCAACTTGGGCATATTATAATTACCTACTAATAAAATAACAAAAACCAAGCTCATGGACTGTTTACTAACTGTGGATGCAAGTGTGGAAAATGCTTGCTGCCTGGCTGTTCAGAGCTTAGGGGGACCCAAAAACACAGTGGGTTGGGTCCCCCTAAGCTCTGGGTTGGATAAAACAGGTGGACTATACCCTCCACAGTGTTGGGACCCCTCAGATATGTCCAAGATATGATTTCAGATCTCCATTTTTTTTAACTTAGCAAAGTGAGTTGCTACCCACTCAGAATATCCAATGGTATAGAATAGGCTGGCTGTTACATCTTACCCAATCAACATAGTATTTTGGTATAAGAGTAATGGTTTCAGTTATTGTTCTGTATTGCGTAGACATAAAACACTAACACAGTATGTAAAAGTACCCTAATATTAATGAAACACTACTCCCATAGGAGCTGCATTGATACTGTCCAGAGCTTCCCCAAAAGCTTTGCCCCACAGCCAGGCCCATAAGCTCATTCTCACATTTCTTCAATGACCAGTCTAGGGGTGTTGTTTTTGTTGTTTTTATTTTTAGAGAACTTGGTTAGGGATGGGGAATTAGGTGGGATACTCCAAAAACAAGAACTATGTACAATTGAGGACTTTAGGTATTCTTTCGGATAAGCTGTGACGAAGTCCATGCTTGAATTAAACAGTAGACTTCAGCTTTAAGACAGCAGTGGTAGTAGTAGTAGTAGAAAACTAGAGCAGTCCCTTGAAGTAGGAGGTTAATGGACAAAGCTCTTCAGAACACCACCTCTTTATCTAGACCTGCAGCTGACTATCTAGCACCAGAGGGGGTTAAGAAACATACAGTCTCTAATATCCTTAAGGGTGTCTGTACTCACAAGGTCCAAGAACAGCAGGTTGTCTTTCTCCATGATACTAAACCAGATCTTCAGTAGACGGCCCCTCTGTCAGCTTTAGCAAACCCCAGGTCTCAACATTTTGGCCCTCAGGTCACCCACTTGAGGTCTACGGCAGTAGATCCAGCAGGGTAACTGTATATATTCTGTGAGCACACTGGGCTCTGGGTCTTTCCTGTATAGGATTGTTCCAGCCTGGAGAGGCAGACTGTCCTCTCCAGGCTGGAACAATCCTATAAAAGAAAGACCCAGAGCCCAGTGTGCATAAAGAATATATACAGTTACCCAGCATGCCTTCAAAGCCAGTCTCTCTGGGACAGGCTGGGACTGTATCAATATTCATGCTGTCACCTGCATCGCTTCACACACGTATGATCCAGAAACTTCTCAAGCTTTCTAGATGCAGAGGGAGCTATCAGGCTGGCAGCAGCTTATCACATGGGGTAGACCTAACTAGCAAAACAGAGCCGCACTGATTATAGCGTCCAGATTATGCCTTTACCAAATAACAATCACAGTCACATTGATTACAGTGTGACAACTGAATTTACCTAATAAAACCACAAACTAAATCTGTCTAATCTAGCACCTATCTAGGATGGTGATACATCAACAACTAACCCAAATTTGCCAATAAAGCTGGCATGTCTAAAATCCTTTCTCTGTGCAACCAGGCTTTTGTAGAAAGTTTTATGGCTGCGCACTGCAAAGAATGGGAGTTGTTATATTTTCCTTTACTTAAAAAAAACTAAAAATAAACACATTTGTTCCAGATTCTAGATGAGAACTTAGTCTATGTTAATCGGGATGCAGGCACGTAGTTTGTAGTTCAGTGAGACACACTTTAGAATTAAAGTATATAAAACTACCCATTCAGTTTAATATAGAAATGCAAGGCAAAACGTGTGTGTGTATGTATGTACATATATATATGTATATAAAATATATATAGTGTGTGTGTGTGTATATATATATATATATATATATATATATATATGTGTGTGTGTGTGTATAGTATATTGATATGTGTGTGTGTGTGTATATATGTGTGTGTGTGTGTATATATATATATATATATACACACACACACACACACACACTATATTGCCAAAAGTATTGGGACGTCTGTCTTTACACGCGCATGAATTTTGAAGCTATAACAGCTTCAACTCTTCTGGGAAGACTGTCCACAAGGTTTAGGAGTGTGCCCATGTCCGCTCTAATTCATCCCAAAGGTGTTCTGTCAGGTTGAGGTCAGGACTCTGTGCAGGCCAGTCAAGTTCCTCCACCGCAAACTCGCTCATCCATGTTTTTATGGAGCTTGCTTTGTGCACTGGTGCAAAGTCATGTTAGAACAGGAAGGGGCCATCCCCAAACTGTTCCCACAAAGTTGGGAGCATGAAATTGTCCAAAATGTCTTGGTATGCTGACGCCTTAAGAGTGCCCTTCACTAGAACTAAGGGGCCAAGCCTAACCCCTGAAAAACAACCCCACACCATAATCTCCCCTCCACCAAACTTTACACTTGGCACAATGCAGTCAGGCAAGTACCGTTCTCCTGGCAACCACCAAACCCAGACATGTCCATCGGATTGCCAGACACAGAAGCATGACTTGTCAATCTAGAGAACAAGACTTCACTGCTCTAGAGTCCAGTAGCAGCGTGCTTTACACCACTGCATCAAACACTTTGCTTTGCACTTTGTGATGTAAGGCTTGGATGCAGCTACTTGGCCATGGAAACCCATTCTATGAAGCTCTCTATTCACTGTTGTGCTAATCTGAAGGCCACAAGAAGTTTGGAGGTCTGTAGCTATTGACTTTGCAGACAGTTGGCGACTTCTGATCACTGTGAGCTTCAGCATGCGCTGACCCCGCTCTGTCATTTTACATAGCTGTTGTTCCCAGTTGCTTCCACTTGGTTATAATACCACTAACAGTTGACCGTGGAATATTTAGTAGCAAGGAAATTTCATGGATGGACTTATTGCACAGGTGGCAACCTATCACAGTACTACGCTTGAATTCACTGAGCTCCTGAGAGCGACCCATTCTTTCACAAATGTTTGTAGAAGCAGTCTGCATGCCTAGGTGCTTGATTTTATACACCTGTGGCCATGGAGGTGATTGGAACATCTGAATCCAATGATTTGGAGGGGTGCTTTTGGCAATATAGTGTATATATACAGTGCTCAGCATAAATGAGTACACCCCTTTTGAAAATTAAGATTGTAATCAATATCTCAATGAACACAATTTCCAAAATCTTGACAAAACTGAGTTTTACAGAACATTTGTTTAGCTCATTACATGAAAGTAAGGTTAATAATATAACTTATGAGAATGATGAAGGTATATTACCAACAACTGCGCTGAATATATAAACAAGTGATAAATATCGCTATTAAATAAATGATAACAGTGTACAACCTCATAAACTACGCTGACACTTTAAAAATAAATAAATAAAAAACACTTTAACAAGTATTCAAGTGGCACATAATCAATATTCTGTGCAAAAGAACAGTAAAAGTATATAGAAGTGAATAAAAATGTATATATTATAATTAAAAATAATTGTGTATAATCCACAAAAAGTGTAAATAAATCAGTCCAAAAGAAGATCACCATGTAAAAAAATCTTTTGCAAAACAAGTGAATAAAGCAAGTGTTGCCTCCCACTCTCCTGGTTGGCAAACTAGGCTTTTAACAGACGATTTCAAGAGATAAATCAGACCACTATGGTATTTTAATCTCCTCCTTTTTTCATGAAAAAACAGAATCCCAAGACAGGTACTCTTGAACTCCAGTATTCAAATTTAGGAAGTGAAGATCAAGGACTCCTTTATCCTCATAATACTCCATATTTTCGCATGCTTCCTGGTCATTTGTGTCCAAGAAATATCCAGTACTTCCAGGTATGGGTTAATTCTCCCAGTCTGATCTGCAGGGTTGGGCTGTCAGGCTGATTCATCTGCTCTATGGAATGGCAAAACCCTTTTTTCCCCCCCTGCTGGAGCAAATTGGATCATGTTTTTTTGGGGTTTTTTGCCTTCCTCTGGATCAACTGTAAGTATAGGATACTGTATAAGGAGGTTTTCTATTTGTGTGTGTTTTTGTTTTCTCTGTTGGTTGAACTTGATGGACTTTCTTTTTTCATCCAGTTTAACTATGTAAAAGCAGGGAAAATCACCAGTCACACTGATGTTGCAGTGTGTGCAGGCAATTGTGTGCCCAGTGAATATGAACACTTAAAGTGTTACTAAACCCACAACAGTAAATCAGTCTGTATATGCAGTAAAGCATGCTTGTTATACTCACTGTGGATCCTAAGGGGTTAATCCTCTGCATTGTGTAAAAACGCTGTTTGATCCTGACTTCTTTGAACTTCCCCTTCTTCCTGTGTCCCCCTCTTATCTCCTGATAAGACATATCATGTGGAGACACTCTGCACATGCTCAGTTTGGTGTGTATTTCTAGAGTTTTTTTTTTTCTCTTTAGAGAGGGCATGTGATCAGCACAGGGCAAATCAGTACTGTCCAGACAGATGTCAGGGGTTCTGCATCCCCCTAGAGCAAAATTAAAACTCCTCCTACAAGCTTTAACCAGTTGGCTGCTGGACATTGATAGAAGTCACAAGACTTCTCAAACTTCTGATGAGAAAAGGTATTTAGCAGTTAATATTTACTAAAATAATTGCACTTCCATGTTCTGTGTACTGTGGGAGACCAGATATAATGAATGTAGGTTCCTGGGTTTATTAACACTTTAACTTTTATTGAATACATACATTTCTAAATGTGTTTGTGACTGTATGTATACTTGCATTAATCTCTTTTATATGTGTAGGGTTCCAAAATATTTCTCCTTAAATTATGGGGCCAAAAAAGTCTAAACATCAGTAATATAGGTAATCTTGTTTTTTTTACCAGTCCTACTTTGTGCAACTGTAAAATTATGTTTCAACAAAATACAGTTGATTGATTACCTAATGAAAATGTCAACACAACGAGCCTGATAAATGCTAATAGCTATTTATGATTCCAGTTTATATTGTCTGTGCTTGTAAAAGAAATTAGGGTGTTTCAAGTTTAGTGATCACCATGACAACAATGTAGGAAAACTGTGAAATGAAGCACTGGACCACAACCAGTTCCCAGTAGTATCTATTATCCAATAGATACAATGACATTTGTTGTAAATTGTCAGAAATTATGTTAGTCATAGTCATGTTAGTCATGTTACTCATAGTTTCAGTCCTTTCGCAATATGGAAAACCAAAAATTCTAAAAATTAAAATAAATGTGCACACAGAATATAAAATTCAGATGTTGCTTTTATCATAGTAACTAGTATACATCTGGAACATGATTCAAGTTATCCAACCTCCTTTCAAAGAAACTACATTTAGTTTTCCCAAAGGCTTTAAGCTCTCCAGGTTTAGTCCAAGTTGCAGCTATTAATTTACTTAAATCCTATACCTTGTTAATACTTCAGATATATAAACAGTGTGCCGTGCCAGTTATTAGGAAAACATCCAGATTTTATCAGTAATGCGGTGAAGTAGTTATAAATAATGTGCTAATGTAGCACTTCTACCTAAGTGAAGCTGTTGAAAACTCATGGTGATGGTCTTTAGAATGTGCTAAGCTCTCATTACTTTAGATAAATCTTTCTAAAGAGCAGGTTACAAGCCTGTATACCTGAGTTATGTGATGATGGTAAAACAAGCTGAACAATTACACTCTGGACTTGCAGGTAGATTACCCTTTAGACTTTAATATGGAACCTACTTTGCGCTAACAAGTCAAAATCACAGGGTCATGGAAGGAAGCTCTGGGTAGAAATATGGGAGCTGCCATTGCTGGCTTGTTCTTGTAGGTCAACGTTTGTGTCAACTTTATCCTGGCTTCACTACTTAGTGAGCCACTGACCTGACACTAGCATACAGCCAGTGAAGAAATAAAACAACTAATACAAAAATGTTCCAGGTCAGTGAATCACTAAGTAGTGAAGCAAGGACAAGGTTGATAACTCTTGCACCTTCAAAATTGTATCAGTAACAGCAGCACTTATGTTTCTATCCTGACAGTTTTCTATTAGGCCTTATTCACATAGGTGCCGTGGCCTTTAGAGCGTGAATTTATGTGGCTGAAGCCTTAGAAGCTGCCTAGTTTTACAGGCGTTCAGCAGTGGGCAAGTGCCTCCAAACTTGGGGGTGCTCACACACCTCTGCCAGCTCCTGATGGCCAAAGCCGCAAAAACAAATGGCCAGTTCACACTGTATAGGCCACAGAAACTGTGCAAATGAGGCATTATATTTTAAATACTAGTGTCCTCTATATAACAAACATAAAATGTGCATTGAGTTTTAGAAATACTTACTTACATTGTGCCAGTCACATAATCCCATAGAGAAGTACTGGTCATATTATCTCAGCCAGGGGTTAAAGGAACAAAACACTGAGTAAAAATGGCTTGTTTGCCAAACTCTCTGCCTGTCTTACCCTTCTGCACAATTTCATGTAACCAAAGCTTTTTGTTTATAGGACAGGCACCACCAGAGTGTGGGTGCAAATGGAAATAAAGTATTTTAAAAGACAGGTGTTCATATGTCTAGCGCCTCCAGGAAAGGTCTACTTTCTGTCCATGTTTACTCAAGCTATCATTTCCCCCTCTTAACTTTATCACTTGGTAAACCACAAAACACATACTCACAAACCTAGAAGTTCTGTGCGGCATATTCTTAACAAGTAATACATGGGTTTTTAAACTTTTGCTTACTGACCTCTGTCGCTGCAGATGCTGTGGACCAATTCATTCTGAGCATTCACAACAAAAGCACAAAAAGAGCCTTGTCTAAGCCATCTTTGTTCACCCTGCTTCACCCTGCTCTCCCTTCTAACAATGCCTCTACAGTCATCCAGCCTTCCAGTCTCTAATAGTAACACAGACCAGAGGATCTGAGGGGAAAAAAGTAGGGTGAGTTAACGGAAAGATTTAACTGCTTTAGTGTGTCTGCTGAAAATTTTGAAGATGATTTGCACCACAGAGCATGGATGCTGGGACTGTTCACTGCACTGCGTATGTGTGCAGTCAGTGTACAACAGTTTAAAAACAAATTTGTTAGCAAGATGGGAAAGAGATTTTTTTGATAGAAGAGACACACAAAGACTCTTCTGCAAAAAAAATAATAATATGTATATATACTGTATATACCTAGTAATTTTAAAATGTAAAGCTCAACCCCAACCCTTAGGGTGTAATCCCATAGTTAATAATTTTAACCAGACCAGAGTTGAGAGGTAAAGTGAAACTAAAGTCTGCCTATACTTATCTCTCCTCCAGAGATGCGATGTCTGCAAGCTCCTTCACCTGCAAACATCTTTGCCTGGTCTCTTTCCAGGTTTGGCCCCTTTGGCCATCTTGATTGGTATGTGCCTAGGAGATATTTTATCCCAGCACCAAGGCATGCTAAGAATGTACACTGAGTTGTGCATGCACAGCTGATTTTACACTCTAAAAAAGTTTGGGAACAGGAAAATAAAAAGGTTTTATTGCAGAATGTCTTTTCTGTAACAAAAAAAAAATGGTCTGCTTTAAGTTTATTTCTACTATTTAAATGTTACTATATAAAGCCTTATTGGCTAAGGACTTTCAAATACTTTACTGACCCTGTCCTATTTACTTTTCACCAATTACAGTATTCCACAATAACTAATAACAATGTCGTTCCCCTTACAGTGCCTACCATGCTAATACCCTGCAAAGATCTATGCCCAGCTATAGCCCCCCCCCAGCGAAGCACAAAATAACTCAGGTTCACACAGACAGCAAAAGTTTCTCTTCTTTACTGGAAAACTAATAAGAATACAGACAACTATAGTGCGTATAGTGGCACATAGCGTACATCCTAGGTTTACTGAAAAAAAAAATTAAAAAAAGCACAAGAGATATACCTACTATCAATAAAACTTGTCCCTTGTGCCACTGTTTCCGGCTTGAAGTTGGAATTCCATTCCCCCGCAGCCCTTGCTGCTGGTGTTGAGGGTTATTAGAGCTGAGGGACATGTCATATGCACTCATCAAGAGTGCTACCTATACCCACCCTTTCCGCTTACCTCATCCATTCTAGGAAGCTGTACTCTCGCTTCTATGAATGAATAACAACCTATGAATGGAGGATGGGCAGATGAACGAAAGGTCTACCACCTCCATTCATATATTGCATTCCATTCATAGAAGCTATATTACAGCTGAAGGAAAGGGGTAGCAAGGGAAGGCATTGCCATCACCCTTGATGAGTGCATGTGGTCCCTCGGCTCTATTAAGAACTGTTATATAGTAGTGGGTATGGGGGGGGGGGGGGCTTGTAGGCAGAAGATTTCAACTAAAGCAGGAGCCAGCACCACAAGGCATTCATTTCAAAGATAGTAAGCAGGGCCCTCCTGACCCTCTTGTATTGAACTGTATCGTTGCTTTATTGTCTCCCTTTATAATGTAAAGCGCTGAGAAAACTGTTGGAGCTATATAAATCCTGTATAATAATAATAGTAAGCAATGTTCCTTGTGCTGATTTTTTTTATAATTACTAAATGTAGGCTTTAATCAAGGTTTACGTGAAGACAGCCATAAATAGGGAGCGGAAAGCCATGTGGGATATGTCCTGACAACTACATTCTTTTGTAAGCAATGCCTGCACTGAAGAGAACTGTGACCCTTTTTAGGACAGAATACAACATCCAGCCACCTATGATCTATCTATTTATAATCTGGCCCCCTATGGTACTACCCACAGACATGGTTTCATTCCAATGCACCCAGGGGTGGGCTGGCAGCTTAAATGCTCCATACACTGTCACTGCCCAAGACATTATCCCCCTGTAATGGGGACATCTAGTGGAGGCCCAGGGGTACTACAGTGGGAATACCCTGCATACTAATCTATCCTGAACTCACCTACAACAACAACCACATATACTTTATTTTTGTGAATTTTCAACACTCATAGTCAAACTACCATATCAGTAGAAACACTAATGATAAAAAAAAAAAACAACTTTTATTTAATTTAAAATGCATTATAATTCTTTACATTCTTTTTATAAGCTTACTTCAAAGTGGTGTGTAAAGTGTGTGTGTGTATATATATATATATATATATATATATATATATATATATATATATATATATATATAAATAAAAAAAAATATATATATATGTACACTATATTGCCAAAAGTATTGGGACACCCGGCTTTATATGCAGATGAACGTTAATGGCATCCCAGTCTTAGTCCGTAGGGTTGAATATTGAGTTGAGAAGTGCATTTGTGAGGTCAGGCACTGATGTCTGATGAGAAGGTCTGGCTCACAGTCTCCACTCTAATTTATCCCAAAGGTGTTCTCAGGTACCTCAGTCAGAACTCTGTACAGGCCAGTCAAGTTCCTCCACCCCAAACTCTCTCATCCATGTCTTTATGGACCGTGTTTGTGCACTGGTGCGCAGTCACTTTGGAACAGGAAGGGGCCGACCCCAAACTGTTCCCAAACTGTTCCCACAAAGTTGGGAGCATGAAATTGTCCAAAATGTCTTGGTATGCTGACACCTTAAGAGTTCCCTTCACTGGAACTAAGGGGCCAAGCCCAACCCCTGAAGAACAACCCCACACCATAACCCCCCTCCACCAAACTTTATACTTGCATTTCCCAGTCAGGCAAATACTGTTCTCCTGGCAAACACCAAACCCAGACACATCCATCGGATTGTCAGACAGAGAAGCAAGATTGGTCACTCCAGAGAAAACATCTCCACTGCTATAGAGTCCAGTGGTGACGTGCTTTACACCACTGCATCCGACGCTTTGCATTGCACTTGGTGATGTAAGGCTTGGATGCAGCTGCTCAGCCATGGAAACCCATTCCATGAAGCTCTCCACACACTGTTGTTGAACTAATCTGAAGGCCACATGAAGTTTGGAGGTCTTTAGCTATTGACTCTGCAGCAGTTGGTGACATCTGCAACCTGCTCTGTCATTTTACGTGGCCTACCACTTGGTGACTGAGTTGCTGTTGTTCCCAGTTGCTTCCACTTTGTTATAATACCACTAACAGTTAACCGTGGAATATCTAGTAGCAAGGAAATTTCACGGATGGACTTATTGCACAGGTGGCAACCTATTGTGGTACTATGCTTGAACTCTTTCACAAATGTTTGTAGAAGCCGTCTGCATGCCTAGGTGCTTGATTTTATACACCTGTGGCCATGGAGGTGATTGGAACACCTGAATCCAATGATTTGGAGGGGTGTCCCAATACTTTTGGCAACATAGTGTGTGTATATATATATATATATGTTATTTCTACTATTTGAATGACAAATCAAAGTGTATAGCAAAAATAAAAAACTCAGATCCATATAATCCATGTTATTTGTTGTTTTGTTAGGTAATGCGCACTGAGTAGGCCGATGATGCAAGGATCTGCTTGCTTGATAAGTGCAGTCTGCATACCATGCACAATGGAACAATAAAAGGTGGAATAAATCCTGTACTCAAAACAGCTTGAGTTCTAATTACTTCGAATTCGAGATGAGCAAATCATTTTGCCTATTTCACTTTTGGCAAGAATTCAGACTGGTTCTCAGCAGGTGAAACATTTCATGGAAACAGGGTGCTTTGTATCATTTCAGTTTAATGACTCAATCTGGCAACAGGACAGCACATCTACAAGCAAACTACGTGGGAGCTTAGCGAGAAGGAAAAGGAAATGACCGCCAGACTTCTGCGCTGGTCCTTTCTGTAATCTCATGGGAACCTTTTTTAAGAGCTACACATCTAGATCAAATGTTTTGTCTCCAATTCAAAAAGTTTAAAAGATAACTGTCTGTGATTGGTAGGCATGTGTTTGAGCTTTATTTTTGCCTGCGTATGATGTTCTGTATACAGTACAATTATTAAATAGAAAACGTTACCAGCACACCCCCAGCCTCTACTTTTCTTAAAAGTAGAACTCCAGACAAACAGCTAAATACTCAGATTAAATACAGTACATCTATGAGAACAGACTGCCTATTTTTGTCCATTCATTCTTTAAATGTATGCAGCCCTGCCAAACAGCACAGCCACACAGATAACTACACTTTCTCTGGTACAATTAAGGAATATAATACTGATATCACCGCGTCCTCAGTCTTCTGCATTAACAAGGACGAGGAGCTTCTGAGGTTTTCTCCACAGCATATTTTCAAGAAGTTCCCTCCCTTTCTCAGTTGGTGCTATACAGGCGTTGAGACTGGAACTTATTCAAACACAATTGCTTATGCTAGTTGCATCAACCATTTGCCTTCTGACCATTGTACATAAATGGCCCGACATCTCACTTTTGAAGGTGAAAGTGCACTCCTGTTCATGCCAAAAGGGGAACAGGGACGATTAAATTAATTCTGTGGTATGTGATTGCTGTTAGCAATCACTGAAATCACTTATTTAAAAAAATATATCTCCTCTCACACCAACTGGCACTGAGTGTTTCCCCAATTATTAGCAATTGAGTACTGTCCGTGATACTTTTTTTATTTGCACTAACATACAATTTTGAGGACAAGCTTTCGGGGAGTGTCCCCTTCTTCAGGTTTAAGCAGTACTGAAACAAAGATTTAGCAGAATGTTGGAAGAGATGTGGGGGATGAGAAAAAAAAAAAAACAGAGATAAGATACAGCAAAAGCAAAGTCTGGGGGGGGGGGGGGGAGGGGGGGAGACAACACTAGCAGAGGCAGTCATGCTTGAGCTGATAGTCATAAAACTGTTGGATAATGATTGAGGAATCCCATGTCCAAATTCAGGCCGTTATTTCTTGTGTCAGATAGAATTATCATTCTTAGTTCAAAAGTTTTTCTTTCCTGAATGGATTTGAAATTTCCTTTAAGAACTAAAATATTGAGGTCTCCCGAAGTGTGGTCTGGTTGTGCGAAATGGTGTCCCACAGGTGTGCAAAGGTCATCTTCTTTATGTTCCTTGATGGTATGTCTGTGCAAATTCATCTTTGTTTGCAACTTCTGTCCTGTTTCGCCAATGTAAGATCCTTTGCTACATTTTCTGCACTGGATAAGGTACACAACATTACTGGAGGTGCAGCTGTATGAGCCGGAAATATTGAAGATCCCTTTTGAGTGTCTGACACTTTTTGATGGATTGATTTAGTTGCACAGTTTGCAGCGTTTTCTATTGCAGGGTGTGCTTCCATTATTTGTGACATCATAATCAGAAGGAAGTTTCCTACTGATTAGTTTATTTCTTAGGCTGGGGGGTTGTCTGAAAGCTAGTATTGGTGGTTGCTGGAATATTTCTTTCAGAGTTCCATCCTCTGTTATGATGGGTTGTAAATCTTTCATTATTTTTCTTATTCCTTCTAGTGTTGGGTTGTATGTGGTTACTAGAGGTACACAGTTGTTTATTTTTTTCTCCTTGTTCTGAAGTAGATTTTTCTCTTTGGGTTCTCAAGGCTGTGTTTATGCTGGTATTGATAGTTTTGTCCTTGTAACCTTTCTTATGGAAGGCATCTGCTAGTGTCCCGAGATGTTTATCTCTATCTCTTGGGTCAGAACATATTCGGTGGTATCTAATGGCCTGACTGTTTATGATGGCACGTTTCGTGTGTTGGGGTGGAAGCTAGAACTGTGGAGGTAGTTGCATCTATCAGTGGGTTTCCTGTATTTTAAGGTGTGAAGCTTATCATCCCTGATGTATACTGTGGTGTCTAGGAAGTTGACATGTGTGTTTGAGTATTCTATTTTTAGTTTGATTGATGGATGAAAAGTGTTGATCAATGAGTAAAATTGTTTTAGGCATTCCTCACCTTCTGTCCATATGATGAAAAATATCATCAATATAGCGATAGTATCTGTATGGTTTTTGTTCCATGCTGTTCAGGAATTTTTCCTCCAGGTCAGCCATAATTAAATTGGCATATTGGGGTGCCATTTTACTTCCCATCGCAATACCCATACATTGAAGATAGATGTCTTTATTGAAAGTAAAGTAGTTGTGTGTAAGTATGAATTCAATGAGCTGTGTAACATCCTCAGCTGTGTATTTGTGGTTTGGTGAGGATCATAAGGATCTGTGACATGCAGCTAATCCATCCTTGTGAGGGATATTACTATACAGGGATACTACATCCATAGTCACTAGAAGTGTATTAGATGGTAATTGCTGTATGTTGTTGATCTTGTTCAGAAAGTCAGTTGTGTCTAGCAGGAAACTAGCAGTATTCTTGACTAACGGTTTTAAAATAGGAAAGGTTACAATGACAAAACTATCAATACCAGCATAAACACAGCCTTGAGAACCCAAAGAGGAAATCTACTTCAGTACAAGGAGAAAAAAACAAACAACCGTGTACCTCTAGTAACCACATACAACCCAACACTAGAAGGGATAAGAAAAATAATCAAAGATTTACAACCCATCATAACAGAGGATGGAACTCTGAAAAAATATTCCAGCAACCACCAATACTGGCCTTCAGACAACCCCTCAACCTCAGAAATAAACTAATCATTAGGAAACTTCCTTCTGATTATGATGTTACAAATAATGGAAGCACACCATGCAATAGAAAACGCTGCAAACTGTGCAACTAAATCAATCCATCAAAAAGTGTCAGACACTCAAAAGGGATCTTCAATATCTCCGGCTCATACAGCTGCACCTCCAGTAATGTTGTGTACCTTATCCAGTGCAGAAAATGTAGCAAAGGATCTTATGTTGGCGAAACAGGACAGAAGTTGCAAACAAGGATGAATTTGCACAGACATACCATCAAGGAACATAAAGAAGATGACCTTTGCACACCTGTGGGACACCATTTCGCACAACCAGACCACACTTTGGGAGACCTCAATATTTTAGTTCTTAAAGGAAATTTCAAATCCATTCAGGAAAGAAAAACTTTTGAACTAAGAATGATAATTCTATTTAACACAAGAGATAACGGCCTGAATTTGGACATGGGATTCCTCAATCATTATCCAACAGTTTTATGACTATCAGCTCAAGCATGACTGCCTCTGCTAGTGTTGTCCCCCCCCCCCCCCCCAGACTTTGCTTTTGCTGTATCTTATCTCTGTTTTTTTTTTTTTGTTTTTGTTTTGTTTTTTCCCATCCCCTAATTCTCTTCCAACATTCTGCTAAATCTTTGTTTCAGTACTGCTTAGACCTGAAGAAGGGGACATTCCCCGAAAGCTTGTCCTAAAAATTGTATGTGAGTGCAAATAAAAAAAGTATCACAGACAGTACTCAATTGTTCCTGTCGCAAATGCACTAATGCGGCTACAATCACCTCAAGCCCAATGATTAGCAGAAGTGATTATGGACACGGGCATAGGTGTCATCAGAGCAGCCAGCCACAGAGCCCCTGATTGCCACCACACCAGCACAGTGTCCCTGACTACTGTCACACCAGTCACAGTGTCACCAGACCAATGCAGCCTGCAATAGTGTTCCTGATTGCCACCACACCAGTCCCAGTGTCACCAGACCAATGCAGACAGCCACAGTGTTCCTAATCACCACCACACCAAACTCAGTGTCACCAGACCAATGCAGACAGCAACAGTGTTCCTGATTGCCACCACACCAGCACAGTGTTCCTGACTATTGCAGTGTCACCATACAATGTAGACAGCCACAGTGTGTCCAAACTCAGTGTGACAATGCAGCCAGCAACAGTGTTCCTGATTGCCACCATACCAGCACAGTGTCCCTGACACCAGACCACAGTGTCACCAGACCAATGCAGACAGCCACAGTGTTCCTAATCACCATGACATCAAACTCAGTGTCACTAGACCAGTGTAGGCCAGCCATAGTGTTCTTGATCACCACCTGACCAATGTAAGCCAATAACCGTGTTCCTGATTGCCACCACACCAGTCCAAGTGCCACCAGACCAGTGCAGCCAGCAACCATGTTTTTTTTTGATTGCCACCACACCCAGTCCAAGTGCCACCCACCAGTCCAAGTGCCACCAGACCAGTGCAGCCAGCAACCATGTTTTTGATTGCCACTACACCAGGCTTAGTGTCACCAGACCAATGCAGCCAGCAACAGTGTTCCTGATTGCCACCGCACCAGTCCCAGTGTCACCAGACCAATGCAGCCAGCAACAGTGTTCCTGATTGACTGCCATGTGAATCCCAGTGTCATCAGTCCAGTGCAAACCAGCAACAGTAAACAAAAAGTGCAGCACTGATTGTGTAAAAAACAATTCATACAACTGCAAACATGTTATATAAAGTTAGAATTAAAACTATCACTGCATCCCACCAGACAATCAATAATTCACCTTAAACAACAATCAGTAGGATAAATAAGTAAATGAAT